CTGTGCGCTAGATGCATTTTTTCCCCATGTAGTTGAAAAAGTGTCATTTTTAAAATTAATATTGTTTTGGTTTCATTTAGATAAAAAAAATCATTTGAGTATTTCAATAATCAAGCTAAAATGAATAAAAATAATAAAAAAGTAAATCGTTGTTTCTTTAGGTGTTTCGATTATAATTATCGTTAAAAAATTATATTAAGTAACTTATATCACATTTTGATAATTTTAAAAAAATTACTTAAAATAATTTAAAAATATTTTTATATTTTAAAAAGTTTCTAATTTCTCTTAAAGAAAAAGCTTAATGTAAAAATAAGTGATTCAAAATTAACTTTTGTTGTCTAAATTTTTTTTTTATTAAAAATAGGTGTCTAATATTTTCTCCTTTACACTTTTAGGTGTATATCATTAAAAAATTTATTAAGTAACACGTTTCATTTTTATATTTTTTAAAAATGTTTTTGAATAATATTTTATTTAAAAAATAAAAAATAAAAACGTGAAACGGACACGTGACTTTTTTTAATGGTATATACCTAAAAACGTAACGGATAAAATATTAAGCATTCATTTTTAACGAAAATTTTTTTAGACACTTAATATTGTATTAAGCCTAAAGAAAAAGCAATTTAAAAAAAAAAACTCAAAACTTTAAAAACTATAATTTCAATCCCATGCTAGCCACCATCTTTATTTAAGATTTTTATTATCGTTGTCGGTCATCACTGACTGTCATAATAGGTCATCACCGATCGTCGTCACTGAATGACCACATATCCGAAAAGAAAGATGCTAAGGGTGACGATAACAGTAGTCACTATAGCTTAAAAGAAAGATTGCAAGGTTTTTTTTATATATATATAATTTTAGAGAAAGTATATTTTTTTATAAATGTAATATATTTTTAATTTTTTTAAAATACATTTTTTAAAATAATATAAATATGACACATGTCACTTAATGAAATTTTTTAATAATCGCTATAGTTGAAACACCTAAAATGATAACTTTTGTATAAAAAAAATGTATTCATCACTATAAAAAAGATAAAATCACATGCTGAGAAAAAAATTAATATCAACTATCAGTATATGGGGTTCTACTGTTTACTCTGTAAAAAAGATAAATCTATCATATCCTTTATTGTGTGACGAATTTTCCGAAAAATCACCTTAACTTTTTTTTTTCTATCAGACACCGTTCAGACTTATTTCCCGATCTAACACCTTTTGTAGAAAGACGCGCTCTAGGGGACGCGCCTTATGCTGATATGAGGGTAAGGCGCGCCCCTTAAAGTGCGCCTTGTGAAATGTGTAAAAGTTCAAGTGCTAATTTTATAAATATTTTTAAAATAGTGCCTAATATGTAATTAATTTTTATTATTGTGATATTTTTATAAAAACGTCAACTTTATTAATTTATTTTTTGTGTGTGAAAAAAAACTTTCTACATTAAAATCTTTAAATGTTCATTTGTAAATTATTTTATAACTCGATAAATTTTGATTTTTGCATAAAATTTAACAATACGTATAATCTAGTATATGAAAACTTTGAGGGTAAGTATTTTAAAATATGAATAATTTTATAAAAGCTTTATAACTAGTATTTCTTTTTCAAAATGATGATGATGATGATGATAAATATTTTATAATTTAAAAAATTATAAATTTTATATATTTTTGAAGAAAAAAATTGACTTTATATTCTTTTTGTATTGACTTTTATTCACTTTTAATTCTTTTTTTATTATATTTTTATACTTTTAATTACAATTGATAGATTAAATGAATTATTATTCATTTTTTTAAATCAATAAAAATACAATAAAAAATAATTAAAAGTGAATAAATTCAATAAAAACGTCAATTTTATTGATTTATTTTTTGTGTGATAATTATTTTTTAGCAGTTAATAATGTTTATTAACTTTTAATATTAATTGTTTAAAAATATAAAAATATTAAAATAAACTTTTAATTACAATTGATAGATAAAATGAATTATTATTTATTTTTTTAAAAATCAATAAAAATACAATAAAAAAGAATTAAAAGTGAATAAAATTCAATACAAAAAAGAATATAAAGTCAATTTTTTCTTTAAAAATATATAAAATTTATAATTTTTAAATTATAAAATATTTATTATCATCATTTTGAAAAAGAAATATTAGTTGTAAAATTTTTATAAAATTATTTTTATTTTAAAATAATTACCGTCAAATTTTTCCTATACTAGATCATACGTATTGTGTAATTTCATACAAAAATAAAAATTTGTCGATTTATAAAATAATTTACAAAAGAATATTTAAAGATTTTAACGTAGAAATTTTTTTCACACACAAAAAATAAAATAAATAAATAAAGTTGACGTTTTTACACAAATATAACCCTAACAAAAATTAATTATATATTAGGTATTATTTCAAAAATATTTATAAAATTAATACTCGATTTTTTACACATTTCACAAGATGTGTTTCAGAGAACGCGCCATTCTACAAAGGGTGTTAGATCAAAAAATAAAATATGAACGATGGAGTAAAAAAAGATTAGGGTGATTTTTCGGCGCCTTACTGTGTATAAAATTTATAATTTTTGTTGAGGGAAATCTAATCTTGAAATTTACGATGAGAAAAAATTTCCATCGATAGTAATCCTTATCTATTATTTAGATATTTTTTTATGTTAAGCCTTACTTATCGCAACCATCTTTCAGTTGGGTCCCGGAATTGGGCTTCGACTTGAAAAATGTGGATTGGAGTCGCCACCGATCATTTATTTTATAAAAAATGGGTTGACCGGATATCTTAATTCTCACCTGATCTGCGTCTTACCAAAGATGTGTCGGATTCGGGAGTCAGTTACAGTCAAGGAAGGGTTAGCACCCTTGAACTGCCCTTTCGGTACTATATAATTTCCAGTTGTCTTTAATTAAGAAAATTGTAATTTTAAATTAAAAGGTAAAATGACGATCTGAATTACTTACATTTAACCGTTTTTGAAAACATACTTTTAAAGAATAAAGAAAAGTGTTAGATAAAAAAATGAGAAAATAAAAACAAATAAAATAAAAAAAATAATACGGAGATAAAAAGATAAAGAAAATAAAAAGGATTAAGTAAAGGTAAATGAAAATAAGATAAAGAAGATAAAAAAAATAAAAATAAAAATAAAGATGAAACAAAGAAGATAATAAAGAAAATAGAATAAAGTAAAAATATAATAAAAAGAGTAGTAAGAACCAAAAAGAAATATAGAGAATAGAAAAATATAATTATATATATATATAAATAGGGGATAAAATTACAATAAAAGAAAAATTAAGGGGTAAAAATAATAATAAAAAGAGGAAGACGTGTGGGCTGCATGTTTAGTTATTTTTGTCAAAAGAAGATGCCTTTAGCTAATAGGCTTTAAGGGTCTCATGGTGTTAATAATTATGTTTCAATATTCTCCTAACTAATGGATTTTCACCGAAAAAAATAGATTGGTCAAAAAGAGGGGACATGGGGGGCCTAGAGAGAAAAAGAAAAGGTTTGGTTAGTAATATATATAATAATAATATATATAATAATAATAATATAAATAATAATAATAAACACAAGAGTAAAAAAATATAATTGTGGTAAAAATCGAAAAAAAAAATAAATAGAAAAGAATATATATACATATAATTATAAGATATTAGAATAGTAATAAAAAAACAATGAAATAAAAAAATAGAAAAAATATATACATATAATTATAAGCTATAGTACGTTAAATAAGAAAAAAAATTAAATATATACATATATATATATATATATATATTAATAATAGGTATAGATAAAATATTAAAAATATACGTATATGTAACAAAATAAAAAAGGGGTTAAATTGAATTAAAAAGCAAGTTGGGTGGCCAAATCAAAAGAAAATCAAAATTAGAAATCAATTTAAAGTAAAATTGGGGTTAAAATAACTCTTTAAAATCAACGAGGGACCAAAAGAGTAGTTTACCCTTTAATTCGTAAAAACACACGGGTCAGAAGACTGGGTCGGGTCTACACGCGAGTTAACTGGTTAATATAAATGTTAAATTTTTTAAAAACCTTCATTTTTTTCATCTCTCGCCGAAACAACCCCCTAGCTCTCCCAAATTCTCTCTATTGTTCATCTTCTGAGATGAACACCGTCGCTTGTTTCCAGATTCTGACGACCCTGCCACCATCGCTGACCGGCGACGGCCGCCGTTCATCAGCGGCCAAACATAAAAAAGGTAGGTTTTTTGGAAAGATTTCGATCCCCGGTTTCAAAAATGAACTTTGTTTTTGCAAAGTGGCCTCAAGGGAGGCTAGATTTGGGTTTAAAAACCCCGAACCTTCCCCTAGAGTTCATCGGCCATCTCGAAAAAAAATGAAAAGAAAGAATGGGGAAAGCAACCATCAAAGCGAAACAAAGGTAAAAAATGCTACCTTTTTATTCTCTTTTTCTTGTTTCGATGATTACAAGTATTCTGGCCTTTTGCTCGATTCGTTTATTTTTGTGCCTAATACTCTATGATATTATGTCTTAAAAACGGATGATTACATGTTTATTTATACCCTAAAAATACTATTTTAGTGATTGAGTCCTAATGAAACTGGTACTCTTGTTTGCTGTGCTTGTGAGGTCCTTGTGCCGGAGTTTACGGGATTTGGTGGTAAGTGACGTGCGGTAGTGAGAGGCGTGAAGTGCAGAGGAGAGGGAGCGGCGCCCTAAGATTTCTGGAAACCCTGATAGTCGAGTTTGGCTTGGAGTGGATCTGGGTCACTGCTACTGGGCCTCTGAATCGGGCTATTTGGATTTTGGCCTGTAACATAAAAAATACATAAATATATTATATAATATAATAATTGAATGAAAAAAGAAAGGTCGAAATTCGGTGTCTTCGTTACTATAAAAACAAACTTATTTTAATAGAAAGTGCGTTTCAATAGTCAAGCTAAATATCTGAAAAGGTATGAAAATGTCACATGTCAATGTCATCAAAGAATCAAACTCCTTTAAGTAAGAAATTCTTCTGCTTATTTAGAAAAAAAAAATCTTGAGCAGGTCCATTTGGTTTCTTCAGAGATACAAAGATGGCAGGAGGAGTTAATAGGAAAATATCAGCTGCATCAGCAAGAGCTCACACTAGAAAAGCAAAGCAAAACCCTTCCTTCAACCTTCCTTCAGGTGGGTTATATATATATATATATTCTTTAAAACAAAACATTACGGAAGATCTAGCTTTTATTTCATCTGATTTAGGTTATAACCATGTTATAGAATTCCACATTTCTTTTAAAATCTGGGTCACTTTGTTTTCCTTATGTCTCTTCTTTAATCCTTGAAAAGAATAAGAAAATTATGATTTTGGATCTTAGATTCTTCGGTTGTTGCAGATTCTTCAAATATTGGTTCATTCTACTGTAGTGAAAATTTTGGAATTTTATTTTTCATAGATGAAATAAAATTGTGATTTTATTTTGAACTTTTTAAGTGCAGTGGTTTTATCTTGTTTCGCAAATGACGTGCTTGCCATTGCAACTTATTTCACATGGATTTCTACTACATTACGGGCTATTATAGCTATATCTCAAAAATTGCAGGTTTATTCACAAAACTACTATTGGTCTTGTCCGTGGGGGCTTTAGCATGGGCTTATCAGGCCATTCAGCCACCACCACCAAAATTATGTGGCTCTCCGGACGGTCCACCCGTCACAGCATCAAGAATAAAGCTGAGGGATGGACGTCATTTGGCCTACGAAGAGCATGGCGTTCCAAGAGATGCAGCAAAGTATAAAATCATCCAAGTCCATGGATTCTACTCTCGTAGGCTTGATACTATTAGTCTGTCACCGGTATTTTTGTTGTTGTTGTGGTCATCTAAGCTTTCAGCTATAATATGTTTGGATTGAGAGCCATTTGACTTTGTTATTGTTTCTTCTTACTACCAGGAACTCGTTAAACGATTCGGGATCTACATTGTGTCTTTTGACAGACCAGTTTATGGAGAGAGTGACCCTAATCCAAAACGAACGGTAAAGAGTATGGCTTTGGATATAGAAGAGCTTGCTGATCAATTGAGACTAGGATCCAAGTTTTATGTAATTGGAATTTCCATGGGGGGGCAGGCGATTTTGAGCTGCCTCAAGTACATACCTCACAAGTACTCCTTTTACTGAACTACACAAATGCAACCTAAGTGAGAAACCAAGAGATTGCACATAATGTTTGTTCAACTGTTGTGTATACTACTTGATGTTTGCAACTTCGACAGGTTAGTTGGGGCGACATTGATAGCTCCAGCTGTTAACTACTGGTGGTCTGGTTTACCAACAAACTTATCGAACCAAGGATTTCAGCAACAGTTACCGCAAGATCAATGGGTGCTTCGTCTGGCTCACTATGCTCCCTGGCTTACCTACTGGTGGAACACTCAGAAACGGTTCCCTGGTTTTAGCGTTCTCACTAACAGTACTGATCATTTGTCTAGTGAGGATATCAACCTCTTGATGAAGATGCCTTCAAGGGATCATATCGTGGCATGTATCTCTCGACCGAAAATCGCTTCTTGTTGTATTAGAAGTTTAGTATTGTTGACTTATAGTTAAGCTGTGGCTTGTTGTATATGTGGATTGCTGTGGTTTAGTCATCGGAATCTGTTGGCATTATGAGGATTTCATGGTAGTAATCAGTTGTTAGGGGTTGAGGGGCTAATATTTTACAATTGATTCTTGAACTTCATTTGTTGCAATCGCTACAATCGTAATCTTGTGTGTCCTTTCTTTAGGCACACTTAAGACAACAAGGCGAATATGAGTCCTTGCATCGGGACATGATAATCGGATTTGGAGCATGGGAATTCTCTCCTGTGGAACTGGACAACCCATTTCCTAACAATGAGGGCTCAGTGCACCTATGGCAAGGAGATGAGGATAAGCTTGTGCCGGTTACACTGCAACGTTACATCGCCCAGCAGCTCCCATGGATGCACTACCACGAACTACCCGGTGCTGGACATATGTTTCCAGTCACGGATGGGATGTGCGATAATATAGTAAAGGCACTTTTGGTTGGAAGGAAGTAGTCGGTGCAGCGTTTATAGGTTTTCACCCTTATCCCATTATTCCCCATCACAACCAAACTTGATATTTTCAACATTTTAAGCGTTGAATCAACAATTTGGTACCCATTAGTACACTTGTACTTAGCATTTCTCAAGGTATTAACCATGTTTGCGGCTGGTGCAGTTCTGTGTCACGGTTTGAGAGTCGAGACCCGGCATATCAGCTGGATTCGGTTCATCAATTGGAAGCGTCGAGTACGATCCAGTGCCCTGACTGTGGCACCTTCATTGCATATGTATTTGTGAAAACATTGAGGCATGTTATATATATAGCATTACTTCGCTTTGTTTTTTGATTTTCTGAGCTATGAAACGATGAATCTGGTTGATTGCTTTAACACTGCATTGCTTAAATCTGGTTGGTTTGGTTCAACTGTCCAATCATATGGAGCTGGTAAAAGACCGGGACTTGAAAACTGGTCAAAACATATTTTTATTTATTTTTATTTTTAACAAAAAGGTTTTTCATCATGTTTTTGTTGGTTTCGATCACTATATACAAATTTATATTTATTTTCTAAAATGACCTTAACTATTTTTATTAGAGTATTTTTACCATTTTATACCTATAAAATTAAATGTGGAAGGATCAAATATGAGATTAGTAACACGAATCAAATTACCTCAGTGGTTAAAAGAATCGTAATAGTTTCTAGAGGTCATGTGTTCATTATCAAATGATTGAGAGTATTTAGAATTATGGGTGTTCAAAATTACCCGACCCGAACTACTCAACTCGTTGAATTGCCGACCCGGTATAAAATTACCGGGTGTTTTAGAGGTAAACACCTAATTTTGTAGGTTGGCCACTGGACCCATTATTTTTGGCGGGTTTTGAAGTTAAGGTTCGGGTCGTAAAATTTCTCTTAACCATTGACGTGATTCCCTTTATTTATTTTATTACTATTTTTATTTTAAACTAGATTTTTCATTTCTAATTTTAAAATTATTTTACCGTAACATTTTAAATCTCTATTTTTTTAAAATTATTTAACATTAACATTTAAATTATTTATTTTAATCTTAAATTATTTTAAATTTAGTTTTAATTTTATATTTTTATTTTATATTTTTATACTTTTAAATTTTATTTTTAGATTATAAAATTTGAATTTATAAATTTTATGTTTATGATATGTATTATAATATGTTAAGTTTTAAATTTTATGTTTTTTCAATGTGGATTTTTTTTAAAAAAATAATATAAATTTAAAAAATAAAATAGTAATCGGATACCCGTGACCCGAAAATATAGATAGCTATGTTTTATAGGTACTCGACTTATTGATACCTACCTCTAAGGGCAGGGTCCTGGGCCAAATTTTTGTGACCTGAAAATCCCAAGTACCCGACATTTTGGGTACCTAGATTTAAACATCCTTACATAGAATATACTACTTTGTAATAACCTTAAAAAAAGGGTAAATTTCATGGATCATCACTGTATTTTGCTTTATTTTCTATTTCACTCACTTTATTTTAAATTCTATCAATTTCCTCACTGAACTTTATACATTTAGTATTTTTGGTCACTAAACTTAATAAAATTAGTTTTTAGGTCACTGAGTTGTTAACGTCGTCATCTTTCCCCATCATCCGTCCTCTTTCCCCATGGCTAACTAAAAACTTATCCACGAAGGAGGTAAGACGCACGATGATAGAATGACGGCTAAGGGACACTACCACCTGAGTTTCGGTCGGAACTGGACAAGGAACTCATTGGTGAAGGCAGTGAGGTGCAACAGTGACGGAATCGATCGAAAATCGCAAAAAATTAGCAGCGACATCGTTATGGGTTTTTGACAAAACTTCGATCAGTCCTCGACGGTGAATGACGACACTTCACGGAGCGGGGTCGATAGGGGTTTTACCGGAGCACGAAGACACTTCCGATGCCATAGGCTGTGACACTCACCGACGAGTTTTACCAAACAACGTCATAACATCGTTTGTGGGGGAAACGACTGAGTGACCAAATTTGTCAATTATATTAAGTTCAGTGATGAAATTGACCAGTTTTAAAGTAAAATAGTAAAATAGGAAATACAACAAAGTACAGTGATGACCGTGTAATTTACCCTAAAAATACGTGATTAGTAAGAATTTACATAATACAATAAATAAATAAATAAATAAAAAGACAAAAAGGCATTGGGCCGTTGACTCTGAACGTCAAATCCGTTATCATTCGGTTCGACCCGATAGCCAATGTTGAAGGTTTAATCGTCGCAATGAAAAACTCTTCATCTCTTCGCTTATGGCATCTCTGCAAACCCTAATCACAGATCCAAGCAAAAAGAGACTTCGTTTACCATAGAGAATTTCCATGGATAACGTTTAGACGAGGTCAAGGAGGCCTTTTTTGAAGCTCTCTACAGAGTCATAATGCGACGTAACTCTGTCTACGTTACCTTCGTCATCGCCGGCGCTTTCATCGGCGAACGGGTGAATTTTTAACTCTTTTTCGTATTGAATATTTATCGTTTCCAATTTCGATCCGTTGTTTCCATTAAATTTTCTTGTTGATTTTTTAGGAAACAATTTTAGAGCTTTTTAATTTACTGATCGGAATTTAATCGGGTTTAGCATTGTTAAATTTAATTGATTATTTTGTTTTTTTAATTGTATACTTTGATTTTTCTAATAAATATTTTAAAAAGGCTCTGCTTACTTATTGGAATATTATAGGTTCCATTGATTATTTGGTTTTTTTTATTGTGAATGCCGAATTTCTAATTGACTCGACTTTTGAATGCAGAATTTCTAATTGACTCGACTTTTGCAGGCTGTGGATTATGGAGTTCATAGGCTCTGGGAATAAACAATGTTGGGGTAAATTTTCTTTTCTTTGGGATTTCAGTTCTGCTGTAATTTTTATAGCTTAGGCAGCTTAATTGTGCCTGGATTGTCCGGAATATTAATCCCAAATTTGATTATCAATAACTCAATATATTAATTTACACAACTACACTACAACTACACTTTGATTAGTATTTGATTGCATTGTGGGTAGGTTAGTTCCTTCTCTCTGATACAAGTTGTTTAAACCTCTAAATCAGTTGATGATAGTTTTCTTTAGTTTATTACATTAGATGGTGGATTTTGAAGTAACTGTACTCTTATAGGTAGATGTCAACTTTGTTCAAGAGTAACCATCATTATCTTCCATAATTCCATTAATGTATATTAGATGCTCGAAAACGCCCTAGTTTCCTTGCAAGCTCAAATATTATGGACAACTTTCCGACTGAAGGTTGTACCACCTGTTCATTAATTACTGCACTTCATATTGTTATTCAGTGGTGGGTGATATGTTGCTTGCTAGTTTGTCCATATTATCTGCTGTCAAGTTGCATGCATTGTTATATATTAGACAAAATGTTTTTTTTTTTTTTTTGCTTTTCTGTTTCCTCCTAAACAATATAACATAATCTGACTTTTTATATAGCCTTATCGCAAATTTTTTGATAATTGTAATACGGATTTGGTTAGCTTGTCCAACTTGAAACACCCTCAGAAATTGTTCACACAATGGCTGAACGACTGCATGTTTTCCAATCTTTGTCTGCTATAATTAGTTGCTTCCATAGCTCAAGTAGTTCATGTACTAACTTGTATATTTGATTTCATTGATATACAACAGAAATGGTACGAAGACATTCCGGTGCTAGGACAGAGGCAATCAGAGGAATGAAACCATCCTTTTGGATTTTGAAGTTGTTCTTAAGAATTGGGTTTAAGCATGCGTGTTAAGTAGCAATGCTCATTGTTGAAATAAAGGTCACTATAATATTTGTTTGTTCTAAACCTTGGAAAATTTTGGGTGGCTACAATGTACGCCTACTGATCTATTTCATGCAGCATTCTGCAATTTATGATTGTTTCAACTTTGTTAATTTCTACATAAACATTCAAATAATCAACATAAGATCAACTCATTTTCAACAAATATTCGGATATAGATATTGATCTCATTTTCTACAAATATTTGGATATGAATATAACTATCATGGATCAAACATGTACCGATATTTGCATTCATCTTAAATTCAGGTAATATATAACTACAAGAATGAAGTATTTAATTCATTTAAATAACAATGGGTTCACTTGTTGATAAATAATCATCTCATTACATTATGATACTCGTCTCAAATGCAAATAACACAGAACTAGGAGAAATAAGTATGCTTATTAGGTTTGCATCCAAATAAATATCATGACGGGAAAAAATTGGGTAGAAAACCGGTTTCGTGAATCCATTCGGCCAACTAAAGCTCTGAACCTGGCAGAAATATGATGAGCAAGGAACTTGTAATATCTACTGTTTCACCATGAAAGAACTTTTACAGCTGCACCCTCCCACTGCACTAGGATTTGTTGTCACCTGCAAGAGAAATCAGAAGCCTTGATTATGACATACTAGGTAAAATGTAAACGAAGCCATGCTTATAATACGAAGCATGTGGTTCATAATCATTTGTACCATGTAATTACAACCAATGATATTGCGATGAAGCATATTCTTTCGGTTTTCATAAACCTTATAATTGATCTTAGAAACATTTTCCGGTGTGATTCGTGAGAATGATTTCATGCAAGCATTTACAGATCATGCCCAAAGGATCAACATATAAGTAATTATCATCCCTACAATTTCGTTCAAATCTCATACAATTTGTTTGAACAAATTCTGTTAAGGAATGCCGGACATAGTTAACTTCAAGGTAGTAGTAGCAGGCCACAAAGGTGATATCACACTGAAGCAAAACCACAAGGGAAAGTTGACAATGTGCCAAGATAGGGTTATCTTAGAATATAAGGCATAATCGACTACAATGAGCTAAACGTATGCTTAGAGGGGCGTAATCCATATATAGGAACTACGGATATCAGTTTCTGGTACAGAACAAGAAAGGGTTATCTTGTCTGGCCAAACTTGATGATAAATTGTTCATGCTTCCTATTTCCTAATACAACAAATTTGAATACAAATCTAATCACACTAATATTCCTATAGTTCGCATAAAGCAACATTAATTGAAACCAGGACAACCGAAACCTGTAATCGATTTAGTACTA